TCTTTGTATTTTAAGTACATACATTGTGTATATTTAATAATATTATAAATTTTCCCGTCTATACCACTGTTCAGAAGTTTGTAAAATAAACCATTTCTCCAAACAGTATCGAAAGCTTTCTGGAAGTCTATCATTATGTATTCATAAATATACATGTATATCTCCATTAGTGAATGTTTGGTCTCGCTAAAGTTTTAAAACATAGCACAACTAATAGAACCTTGACCTCTATACTATATATTTGTAACTATCCCCATATTTAAAATATATTACAGTGACCCCTCGCTGAGTCGTGCCTCATTAAGTCGCAGGTAGTTGGATGGCTTCCAAAAATTCTATTGTGTTTTGCCGGCAGTTTTGAAATAAAAGAACTAATGTCTCGTTGCATCGTGCATTTAATTGACTGTTAAAGGGCTGATGGAGACAACTTAACACCTACTGGCCATCAATTACTGAGATACAAAGGGTGACGGCGGCCTGACTTGAGGTGTCGACGGATAAGAAGTCACGACTTTACGTAATTAATTGCTGCAATGAGTTAAATGCATGTGGACATGAATGCTATGATGTTGTCCAATAAAGAAAACGTACTATAAATAAACCCATGTGTGTACATGTACTTTTTATCCATTTTCAATGCATAAACTCCCCTTTAAGAAGACCTTTTGGTAAGACGCAACTCTTGATAAGTTGTGGTTTTTGCTTGGATCCCAACACCTGGGACTTACATATGGCTACTGTACATATGTCACTGTCAGCTTATCCCATGATTCTACCGCACCCAATGCGTAATAGAAGAACAGGTATGGTTACTATAATTTCAATACAAGTCATTGAAAATGACAAAGTCCCCGTTAAGTTCTCTTTGTGCTCGTCATATTAAAGTGGAGGGGTTGTCGCGAGTGTGTCCTTGAAACTTGAGTTCCAAGTTGGGTATACAACAGATTGTTTATTTACATCAAAACACGTGTTTCGTGTCATAGTAATATGGCCATAATCTGATTATGAAACACAATGATATGTATGATGTATGTGTCAAATACGAATGAAAATGGTACATAAATTGTGGAAATATAGTAGTAAGGCCAAAAAGTCAGATGGCTGTCAATCGGCCATCCTTGACCAGATTTTGAAACAAATTGTCATGGACATGCATCCTAACATGTATAAAGTACATGTATGTGCCAAATTTGAATGAAAACTGACAGAGCACGTCCAAGATACCGCATAAAAAAACAAAAACAAGATGCCTGCCAGTCGACCATCTTTGATCCAATTGCAAAATAAATCGTCATGGACATGTATCCTAACATGTATAATCTATGTATCAAGTTTGAATGACAACTGACAAAGCATGTCCAAAATACAACATTTTCAAAAAACAAGATGGCTGCCAGTCGGCCATTTTGAATCGAAACGCTAAACCACTGTATG